GATACGACTCAATCTCATTCAGAGGAGTCAAGAGAAAAGAACTCCTCAATCCTTTTTGGAAAAATTAAATTTCCAAGGGTTGGAATTCCCATAAAAAGTGATAATAATCAAAATGATACCTCTCATATTACTATTGAAGAACTCAACAAAAGAGTACAATTAAATAATTCTATGAATAAAACTCTAAACAATGTTAAGAGGAAAATTAAACCGTCTTCAAGAATCCTCGTGTCTACGCAAATTCAATCTCACGAAATGATAGAGAAATTTATGCGCAAACGTAAAACAAAGAACAAAGAAAAAGTTGAGAAAGAATTAAAGAACCATACTTCACATACATGCCTAGTATTATCCGAAGAGCCTAAGAAAAACCGACTTGAAGAAATCATTGAATTATTACGCTTAGATCATTTAGATACTCAAGAAAGAAAGAGCGTAGTAAATACTATATCTAACAGTCAGGATAGATTTCACATACCTGGAGAAAAGTTGACTGCAACTCATGTATTGCAACATCAAATTCTAACGACAGATGATCGGCTTATTAATACTAGACAATATAGATTTCCCCAAATTCACAAAGAAGAAAAACAAGCAGGTAGGAGAATTACTCGAAGGAGGCATCGTAAAACCTTCTGTGTCGCCATATAATACGCCTATTTGGATAGTACCAAAAAAGAAGGATTCAAAGGGAAATAAGCGCTGGAGAATGGTCTTGGACTTCAGAGCTTTAAACGACAAAACTGTCGGGGATGCTTACCCGCTACCTAATATCGTTGATATATTAGATCAATTAGGCGGAGCGCGATACTTCTCAGTATGTGATCTGGCTTCCGGATTCCACCAAATAAAGATGGATCCTGCAGGATAGTCACAAAACAGCTTTTACGACTCCTTTCGGTCATTATGAATTTGACCGAATGCCCTTTGGATTAAAAAACGCTCCCGCTACCTTTCAGCGACTAATGGATTTAGTATTAACTGGTTTACAAGGCAAAGAATTATTCGTCTATATGGACGATATTGTTATTTACGCCAGCTCGTTAGAGGAACATGAAAGAAAATATAATTTGCTAGTCGATCGACTTCGGGAAGCTAATTTAAAATTACAGCCTGACAAATGCGAATTTTTGAAAACCGAAGTAACTAGAGTTTTAAAGGCTGGGAAAAAAACCGGTTTTTTTCAATTTTTCCGCGGATTTTTTCGGTTTCTTTCCCAA